TTAAGATCGATGAACTGTAGTGTTGACGGTTTTTATGTAAATATAAAAGCTGGACGGAAGCATGTGCATGTTGTTAATTTTAGTTACTAAACCTGAATATTATATTTTCCGATTAAGATCAATGTATTGTACTGTAGCAACTATGAAGTGTGATCTCTAGCTAGCTAGCTTATGTAACGATGAGTCTTGTTAGCAGATTTGGCATTTGCACATGTGTTAGTAAGTGTTGTCTAGCTAGCTGTTGAGTCTTGTTGTCTAACAATTGTAGTGTAGCAACTTTGAACGGTGAGTCTTGTCTATTGTAGCAACTCTGAACGGTGAGTCTTGTCTAGTTAGCTGTTGGTTCTATTCTAGAATGTGTTAGCAAGTTAATTGAGAATTTCTGTTACTATTTTTCTTTCCTGTGAAGTGGATCGTTCATCCTTGCTCATATTGCTTTAGGAAAATGGCGCCACCACCACTACCATGTCGACTATGCAAGTTAAGGTGCGCTAGCGGCCTTGCAACTGGCACACTGTTCGACATCTACTTCCATCCTAGTTTTTTTCATGCGGCGGTAAAAAATTATATGAAACTTGTAACAACTATTTTGTTTTTAGTGTTATTGGCATTAATGCATTGTGTCATTGTGCCTTTTTACACAAATCATCCCATGCAATGTGAGGCTGAAATTCAACAAGCTGACCGGAGACACTGTGACCTTTGAGGCTCCGGGGGTCCCCTACACTATGGACGTCGAGAAAGGACGCAATATGTCGCAGATTGGAGGAGATGGATGGGTCCGTTTTCTCTCCCACATGGGTATCACTGGTGGTGAGTTGATCAGCTTCTCCTTCAGAGCAGAAAGACCCAAGCTGGCTGTCATTTATATCAACACGGAGGAAGATGATGAAGATGATGATGACCCACTTGATGAAGATGATGATGACCCACTTGATGAAGCCATTTATGCTCAAAGAATGAGGCTGGGCGAGGAGGAGGTGTGCAACCTATGGGACATAATTCCGCCACGTGCTGACTTTGTCGGGGTGCCATTCGTGACCCGCCTGACAAGTACCATGGTTGATCAGCTTGTCATGGTATGTTATACTTACTGTAGTAATTTGATGATATGCTTTACTGTTATACTTACAAATGCAAATTATCCGAGGATGCGCTTTGTGAATTCGATGATATGCTTAGTGCAGAGTCCAATGATATGGATGTGTGGAAGCTAGCTGATGATATGCTTTAGTGTAGAGTCCGATGACATGCTTATTAGTGTAGAATCCAAGGAACTGTTAATAGTGTAGATAATCCAACTTATTAGTAGAATTCATGCTTAGTAGAAATGTAGTACGGTATCTTTTGATAGTGTAGAAATCTATAATTTGTAGAAATATATTTGCAAGAGTATGTGCCAGGCTGCTTATTAATTGATATGTTTTTCTTATTCGGAAATTGCCAAAGAGCCTCTCTGTGACTTCTGGTATCGAGCCTGATGAAGAAGGCTCAGCTGGAATACACCTTAACGTAAGGGGCTCCGTCACCACCTATGCGTATGGTGTGGACACGGATGATCGCACACACTTAAACTCGGTTGGGTGGAAGAGCTTCCTCGTTGGCAAGAATGTTCGTGTTGGACAGGCCATCCTAATTACTATCAGGAACACCCACCGCCATGGCTTGAGGATGATGATCGTCGTTGATATCATCTAAAACTACATATGTGTGTGGTTGTATGACTACCCCTAGTAGAATGCTATATATGTGTGGTTGTATGACTACCTAGTACTGCTTATCATATATACTACTATATGAACCATATATGTGTGTGAGGATGCATGTTGTCTATATATGAGTATCTATAATGCTTAATGATATTGTATGACTATTGTATGACTATATATGAGTATCTGGTATTGTGGTTAATGATATTATTATTTGGTATATGTGAAATTGTAGTTTATTGAAACGGGGTACTATTCTACATCAATAGGAAGCAGAAAAAAATGTTGAAAGATACAGCAGCAGTGCGGGGACAGAAAAGCGCTACAGCTACTTAATAATAGAGTGTGACAGAACAGCGCTACTGATACATGTATTAGTAGTAGCGCTGGGATAGACCGCGCCAATACTACATGTTAGCTGTAGCGCCGTAGTAGTAGCACGGTCACCCGCGCTACTGATAGCATTAAAACCCGTGCCACTACTAGGGTTTTCCTTAGTAGTGGGCCCATGTGGCTTGGGACAGGTGGAAAGTCCACCTGTTTATGGAAAAGGAGGGAACCGGACTAGGAGTCCAACTCCTCCCCCTTGGTGCGCCCCTAGGGCTTGGAGGGCTGGCCATTCCTACTTGTGGGCTTAGAATTTTCTCGAAGAGGAGAGGATGATGTTGTACAATAGAGATAAGTATTTCCCTCATTTAAGAATCAAGGTTATCAATCCAGTAGGAGAACCACGCAACACTATGTAAGCAGTACCTGCACACAAGATAACAAATCCTTGCACCCAACGCGAACAAGGGGTTGTCAATCCCTTGGCGGTTGATTGCAAGATTAAATTGTATGGTAATAGATAGATAGATCGCACTAAATATAAAATATAATAAATAAAGAAAAATTGTAGCAAGTTATTTTTTGATTTTAATATATGATAAAAGTAGACCCGAGGGCATAGTAATTTCCACTAGAGACTTCTCGCGAGAAAATAGCATATTGTGGGTAGATAAATTACTGTTGGACAATTGATAGAAAAGCAAATAATCATGATGATATCCAAGGCAATGATCATATATAGGCATCACATCCGAGACAAGTAGACTGACATCATGTAAGTGATGCTTTTCTTCATCTATGAAATCCGTAAATCATTGGAATGGCAATCATGCTCAGTTGCCATTTGTCCAGGATGCTACGATGGTCGTATACAAGTTTATATGGTACCATTTTGCAGAACTTCAAATAATTTGCCATGCTGGAAGATTGTATCATGTACAAAGTTGCCATGATAACTTTTACATAAAAAAACTGTCGCATATTTTTAGATAAATTTTTGCAATGATATATACTTTTGCCATGGCAAATTTCTACATTTTTTTCATGGCAATTTTATTTCAATGAGATGGCAAATTTTACTTTATTTTGCCATGGCAAAGTAACTAGAAAAGTTACTTTCTTTGAGATCGTGGCAATTTAAGTCCATGGAGCATGGCAATTTTAGTTTATGTATGATGGTGTATTATCTCTCTCTTGCAACAAATGGCAAAAGAATCTCTTTTCTAGTTGAACATGGCTAGTTAAGTTCATGACGCATGGCAACATAGTTTATCAGGCATGACAAATTATATTGTTTTTATAGGTACCATCTTCTGATTTTCAGGAAATAGTTGTCATGGCAATTATAATACAATACAACGCCAATATTTAATATGCCATAGTAATTTTTGTTTATGTATTAATAATGCCCCAACAAGTTCTAGTTTATCGAACATATCATTGCATAGTGTACCTCATACATTGGAGCATAATTTGAAACATGTTTTTAGAAAAGTCACACAACAATTTGTAACAAATTTTTATCTTCACTCGTGAAATTTACTTTGTTGCATGGATTTTTTTTCACTTTCTATGAAAAATTTACTTCCTTTTCCATGCCAAATGTTCACTCTAATTTTGCCATGGAAAACTTTACAACCTTTTTCTATTTTGCAGTGTCAAATTTACATTTAATGACATGGAAAATTTTACTTTATTTTTTCATGGAAAAGTTTACCATATTTTCATGACAAAGTTTACTTTCACATACATGGAAAATTTATTCATTTTTAATGGCTAATGTTTACTCCACTCTCGCCATGGCAAATTTAAATTTCTATGCTTTTTTGCTATCGCAATTTTACTTTTGGCATGGCAAATTTTACAATATTCTCGACGGCAATTTTTTCTTTCACACACATGCCAACTTTAATTTTTAACATGGCAAGTTTAATTCCATTTTTTTCCATGGATTGTTTTCCATGTTGCCATGAAAAAATTGCATGGAAATTACCATGGCATCAACAAAAGTTGTTTTCCATGTCTTGCCGGCTCCCTAGTAGATGTTGGAAGCCTTCTTTGTCGTGTACCCCTGGCTTTTCCCTGGCAAATTTTTTACTCTACATTTTTGCCATGGCAGAAACTTTTTCTCTTTCTTTTGCCGTGGCATTTTACTTTTAATGACGTAGCATACTTATTTTGCTATGGCAAACTTAGCCATATTCTCCACTGCAAATTTACTTCCACATACATGATAAATTTGCTTTTGATCACTCATGGAAAAATTACTCTTTTTTCCATGTTAAATCCATCCTTTTCTTGACATGCCAAATGTACTAGGAATCTGCCATGGCATTTCAATTGTAATATGAATTTGCCGTAGAAATTTTACTTTGACTACGATTCTGCCATGACATATTTTTATTTTTTGTTACTATGACGGAAATTACCATGATATTTTTTTGTATGTAATCAATGTGAGTGTTCTATTTCCCCACAATAAATGTTAGTTTTCTGTTTTTATATACAGTTTTCACCTTTTTTTAATTTTCTAGAGAAACTGGATTGTTTTGGGCCAGGAGTTGTGTCCCGACAGAAAAAGGCCTCAGCCCACCCAGCCGAAGCGATGCGCATGGTCGTTCGGTAGAGACGGCAGCTCGTGCCGAACATTTTTCGTTCGGGCGGCTGGTGCGATCGTGCCGAACTTTTTCGAACGTCAGGCGAATATCAGTGTTCACAGTGTATGAGTCAGACGAGACTTTGTTAATTCCCATCTAAATGAAAACAGTTTTGGCAAATCCGTATTTTATTCCGCTACGTACTCGAGCTCGACGAAGCTCCTACCCATCGAGAATTACTTAGCAACGACAGTAACACTTGCCTTGACTCCATCGATAACACGATACGCTGCCGTGAGCACTGCCGTCGATGGGGTCGCCGGCGGCTACCGAGACTGCTCAACGGTGGGTGCTTGCATGGTGGGCTTCAGGCGTCGGACCAGGTGACGAGGGCCTCGCCGACGTTGACGTCGAGCCCGAGCGCCTTCCACACGGCGAGGGAGGTGACCACGATGTTGTCCTTGCACCCCTGCTTGGAGTCGCATTCGTCCACCACCTTGGCCTCCACGGTGCGCCCGTTTTGCGTGCTGGTGATGCGGATCATCCTCTCGCACCGGCGCCCGCCCTCGTACCACCGCGTGGACAGCGCCGCGACCATGTCCCTGTCGCTGTGGTACCTGCCGTCGCACTCCGACGGCCCGTCGTCCTCGCCTCTCTGGTACCCATTCCACGTCATGACCCCGGGGGTGCCGCTGTCGTGGTGCTGTGCCATGGCGCATAACGTGGATTCTTGCAGTAGGATCACGAGCATGGCCACCACCGCGAGCTTGGCGTTCGCCATTGCTAGGCTGCTGTGGCCTGTGGATGCTGATGAGTTGTGGCTTGTTCGGGCAATTTATATAGGCGCACGTACGTACATAACGATACTCTCTAGGTGTGCTCGGTACAGCCCCAAACATGGCTGCGTTAGAGGGGAACTCAATTGTAGAGATGATCGAGTTTGTTTGGATTACATGGTGTCTTTAATGTTACGGCGGTAATTACCAAGGATAGAACTCAGCAGGTCGCTTTTCGTAGAGACGATGGCACCAATTTTTAGTTTTTTACTACTCCAAACAAGGAAAGTTCCAAAATCCAAGCTGGTTAATTGCGATTAATCGTGAGGTACTAGGATATGACTGGGCGAGGAAGAGCCAATTTTGTATCATAGTTGTTGATGTGCCCAATGCAGTAGATTAGCAACATCATGTAGTTGTTGCAGTAATAGTTGTTTAATCATGTGAATTGTCTAGAATGCTTTTCTTTTCTGAGCAAAATGTAGGAGCTCTGCCATCCATTAAAAGGAGAAAGAGGTTAATTTACCACCTCAGCTTTTTTTAGGATTATTTGCCACCTCAGTTTCTTTTTTGAGGATTATTTGCCACCTCAGCTTGAACGGCCATTCAGCCCCGCTCCTCTCCTGGAGTGGCCAGCGGCGGCCACCGCCCCCGTTACTGCCCGATGGGCATTAGCGCCACCCTTCTTCCCGCCCCTCCCCCGGATCCCTCGAGCTTAGCTGGTTGACAGGGGCTCATCCGTCGATAGAGACGTCAGATCTGTGAATGCATCCCCGTCATGCGTCCCGGAGTCACCGCTCCTTGTGGATCCATCGGCCTCTCGATCCTCGCCGGATTTCCTGGATGATGCCACCGTCCTAGCTGGTGTTAATCTGCCAAATCCGGTCCTTGGCATCCTCCCAGCCACCCATTGGTCAGTCCATTGTCTCAAGCTAATGTGGGTGCCCGTCTCAAATCAATGGTGACTCCGCTTGACATTAATGGTGACTTGCAAGGTGCTTCCCCCTCTTTCTCTGCAGCCCCCAGGATCCGCTCCGTGGTGGTTGCCCCTCCAAATGTTGTTGCGGCTGATTACTGATTATCCAGCTGACCAAGAGGAGGGATGGAGTATAGGAGAGCTGCCAAAGATCCGGTTGACAGTAGAGCTCCTCTTCCACCTTCAATGCACCAGCGCCTCCCCAACTACGTCCCCGCCAAAGATCGGAATGCCTTCTTAAAGCGCTTCCACGTGCTCTATTTATGTTGCCTCAGCACAGAGCACCGCCGCAAAGACTGTCATGACCCAACCCATTGCATCACTTGCAAGGTTCCAGGCCACAAGTCAAGAGATTGCCCGCATAACAAGAAGCCGCCGGGTGCTGCAGGCGCCGCCAACCCCTGCCTGGATCCCCAGCCAGGCCGGGGCCTGTGATGGAACGATTGGTGTTTCTGCCGCTACCTCCACCGCTGACTACTCCGACATCGCAGCCACAGTCGAAGCCTCAATATGCTCTTATGGCCGCGGCGTTTGTCCCTGCGTCGCCAGTGGCAGAACCATGGCCTGGGGTTCAATTCCCAGCTGGCTATTCATTTTTAGGATGACTATAAGGACACCACAAATACCACTTGGTTGTTTGGGGTTCTGTCACTTTGGAAAAAGAGGTTGATGCAGTGCCACTGTTGTTTTGCATGCCGCCTCTACCTCCATCTCTGACCACAGCCCAGTAGTGCTATCCACTGCTAGTGTGCAGCCACGAAGAGCAAATTCAAGTTTTAGCATTTTTAGCCCAACTTACCAGGGTATAAGGAGATTGTACTTGAGATCTGGAACAGGCATGTGCACTCCCAATGTGCCTTTAAAACTATCCACACACAAAATGTTGCGCGCTGCTAAGGCGCTTAAGAATTGGAGCAGAAGCTTGTTCAGAGATGCAAAGATGCAATTTTACATGGCACGGGAGTTGGCGTTAAGATTTGATGTTGCTCAAGAATCATGCGCTCTCACAGCTGCTGAAACCAACATGAGAGAACACTTGCAGTTGTATCTGCTTGGGCTTGCAGCAATATTGAGCAAGCTCGCAGGCGCCAGAGCTCATATATCAACTGATTGAACGTTGGAGATACAAGTACGACGTTTTTCCACGCAAAAATCAACTCCAGAACAAGAAAGAACTTCATGTACTCCATGAAAAAAGTAAATAACATAGTGACAAGGCATCAGGAGAAAGAAGAGGCGATCAACTCCCACTTTCAAAGCATAAGAGGTTCCAAGATGGATCGTACTAGCTCAATCAACTAAGAGGCCATTCAAATGCCACAACGTGATGCAGAAGGAATGGACATTCCTTTCTCCGAAGCTGAAGTTTGGCGCGCCATCAAGCTGACACCAGCAGACATAGCTTCGGCGGGGTCCATGACCATGTGTCGACGCCCACCCACGCGGGCGGCACGGGCACATATACTCCGGCGTACACGGCACCGTCTTTGTCCGCGTCCAGGACTGCCCCGCCAAGGCCGCGGCGGGTGGCTCCTCGAAAACCTCCTGCATGGCCTTCTCCTTGACATCCAGCTCCAGGATGACGATGTCGCCGGTGGCCGCCCGAGCCACCATCTCGTCGAGGCCCTCCCATTTGGCGCGGTCGTGCTCCTAGATGGAGTCCTCGAGCACCCTCCACACTAGCTCCTCCTCTTCCTTGGCGGACATGGTGGGAGGTGGTGGTGGTGGGGACGCGTCGGCGTTAGCCTGCGCACCCGCGCACGACCGCGTGACCGGGGCGGGCTGGAGCGTGCACGCAGCTGGCAAAGCGCGCCCGTGGCGGGCTTGGAGAACGACCGACAAAATAGGATTGTCGGCCCAGGTCGTGTTCGTCCCGGAACCATGTGTCCCGGAGCGGGGAATCGGCGGTATACCTAGCAGCGTTGATGGGTCTGGCGGCAAGCGAGCGCGGCCGCTCACCATGACCGATGGCACGGGCACCCGATATGCTGACAGGTGCCAATTGTTTGTTAGATGGGCGTCAGTCCACGATAGTGGCGTACCCGTCTCCCAATACTGCTGGCAAATCTCGGCCGTCAGGTTCAGTCGCACATGGGGCGGAGCCGCTGGTGGGGAGATGCTTAATGCGGGCGGCGAGGAGGTGCTGAGCGGTGGCGGCCAGTCGACGAGCCAGCCACGTGACCGTGCTTCCCATTGCAGGGGATCCACTTCCACACCATGGCAGGCGGCGGCCGACGGGAGGGAGTAGAGCGGCGGCCGGAATTAGGGTTTGGGTGTCAGGGCTCGAGGAGGCACGTGTCGACAGAAGTGGAAGTGTGTAGATTGGCCGATCCACGACTTTCACATTAAAAAGGACACGGATGGAGCGGCTAGGTAGCTGACAAGCGGGTCCGCCCACACGTGTGGCTCAAATGGGCCTGGTGGGAAGTAGTTGTATGGCCGAGACGCGGGCCCGAGGGTGGACGGAGAGAGGGTGCGTGTGTGTTCGTCTGCTGCCTGTCTGGATACAAACCGGGGGCAATTTTGCTCCGAAAATAGGTTGAGCCGAACATCAAACAGACACAATTTGAGGTTGCAGCCGCATCCTGGACCGTTGTGTTTATCCGTTTAGACCGAAACGAGCACGCGTAGACAAAAGGGGTCGCGCGAGTTTGTAGTTGCCCTTAAGCCCTCTGTTTGTTTAGTTGACCTTAACCCCTCTTGTGTGATGGACTGGGACGTACACGCATCACATTTCTCCCGAAAGAAAAGCCCACTTCACGAGGGTGGTTTTGTTTTTCGACGGGAGGGTGTGTTAACCATACCTATACCTAGCTCTCCCCATCCGTCTTCCGTGCCTTTTTCTCCTTTAATTTTTGAGGCAATATCACCGATAGTCATAGAACTTGTGCTAGATGTTCAGTTTAGTGCTAAAATTTTAAAAATACGGCTTTGTGGTCATCTAACTTGTTGTGTGATGTAAATACGGTGCTTTCTACTCTATCTGGCGTACGACCTGTCTTGACAGCATGGGAGTGGCCCACATGTCAGTGGCTGGAGTACATTTTTTCAGATAACTCCATGGATTTTTTTTAAGCACGCAGAGAAGCCCAGGTGAGACCCATTGTCGGTGACAGTATACAAAACAAAATTAAGAGGTGGCGGGATTCATAACGGCGACCAACTAAAGACACGCGCATGCTGTAACCACTACGCTGAATGACATATAATAATTCTGAAGGATAGCTACATTTTATATTCTTTTGACTGTAACACGTGGGCCGGTCAGCTCTAATGAACCATGATCAGTGCAGCCCATTATGCACCTTTGATTTTTCTTTTAGAAATTAGTATGTAAATTTTGATTGCAGTACTAAAATTAATGTTCAAAATTCACGTACTACAAATATTGTAAATACAAAACGAAATAGATTTCTTTCAAAACTGTTCATGCATTATTTTGAAAATAAATAAATATCTAAAACAATATATTTATGACTTACAAAATGTTTGTATAATTTTAAATAATATAAATACTTGTAAAATTACAATTAAAATATATTATTTTAATTGTAATACATTTCAATAAATATAAACACATTTGTATAGTTCCATGTTTTTTATTACTATCATTTTACTAAATATTTTTATATAATCCTCCGGCTTTTTTTTTATTTACTAATAATCTTCTGTATGTATGATATTTTTAACACACAAATATTTGAACGCAACTTTATTACTTATATGGTTCGGGACCTAGCGGCTCCCTTTTCTTATGTTAATTTGGTCATCTATGAGCAGTACAGTTTTTGTAAAAAAAAGGTACAATTTTTAAAAATATTTTGAATTTTATTTTCTAAAATATTTATATTATTTTAAATTATAAAATAAATTTGTAATCCGTAGATCAATAATTTACATACAAATTTCTAAAAAAAGCAATGGTCCAAAATGGGCTGCACTAATCATAGCCCATTTGAGCTGACAGGCCCACGTGTTTTAAGAGAAGAGATATAAAAGTTAGCTATCCTGCAGAATCATCAGATGTCA